CCTCCTCACTTTTCTGAGCAGCTTGAATTATGTCAGCAATGGGCGGATGTTCTCGACCCCAAATTGATGTTTGCAGGGCTTTCTGGTTGTACCGCACCTTGTTTGACATGTCCGACGTTTCATTCCACGTGCGGGGAGCGTCTTGATGACCTGAATTCTTCAGGAATATAATTCAGTTCTTAAACACACACGAGAGTTGTGCAGCACAATCGCGAAAACCAGCGCAGTTGTCGTATAGCTTACATTATTTCCGCTTCGGTATTTCATTTGAAAAAGAATGAACACGTTTATCCAACATATAACATTAATTATGGTGGCGATGTTCAAAGTGACCTTGAACTCGCTGGCGACACTCTCTGACGCAACGTTCCGTGGCCTCACGAAGCTCACGTGGCTCAACCTGCAGCTCAACGCGTTGCAGACTCTCCCCTCTGGCGAGACACAGCTGCCTCCACACGCATTGAGCCGGGCCAACCTCCCAATCAATGTAGCAGCACCCTCCTCATCGCGGTCCGGATATGCAGTTCGGGTCTCCTGGGTACATCATTGTGATAAGTGGGCATTAATCGATAGTGGAGAAGATTTAAAGTAATTAAAGAATAGTAGGATTATACATTTTTTAATTACTAGAAGTCTAGCTCCTGCGGAGGCCGTCTCGACATCTCGCGTCTCGCCCGTCGCCCCCACTGATGCCCTCTTCTTCTCCCCATGTGTGCAGATACTACTGACTATTGTATGTAGGGTGTGTAGGTATATATGCCGAGAACAGATTTGTTTTCTTTTTGGAGGGGGGCGGGGGGTCTTGTAACCCTATTGGATCAACTCTAACTTTTTGATTCAGGCCTTCTGAAAGGCTCTTATTATTGAATTGACACACAGACAAACGGACACATTGAAAGCTGGGCTTTTATAATAGGCTAGCGGGAAGTACCCGGTGTTGCCTGGGCCTTAACAATATTTCAAAACTACTCTTAAAAATCTAACAGCAATGCGTACTGACTGTGGTAATACCTGCTATGATTACAGCAGTGCATACTGTGGTGGTACCCGCTATGATTACAGCAGTGCATACTGTGGCGGTACCTGCTATGATTACAGCAGTGCATACCGATTGTGGTGGTACCTGCTATGATTACAGCAGTGCATACTGTGGTGGTACCTGTTATGATTACAGCAGTGCATACTGTGGTGGTACCTGCTATGATTACAGCAGTGCATACCGATTGTGGTGATACCTGCTATGATTACAGCAGTGCATACTGACTGTGGTGGTACCTGTTACGATTACAGCAGTGCATATCGACTGTGGTGGTGCCTGCTATCACTACAGTAGTACATGCTGACTCCATAGCACTATTTATCGACTGTATAGCATATAGTACTCACCTGGTGAGGCCTAGTCCCGTGCAGAGCCTCCGGCCTCACCTAGATTGTCCAGCTGGCCGAGGTGGCACCTTGGCAGGCTGTGGCTGGGCTGCTACCCCTGACACTCCCGCCCCCCAGCCATGATCTCCCTGGCCGCTCTGCAGTAATATCTACGGCCTATAGTGGTATCATCTAGCGACTGTCTAGTAGTAATAACTACACGCATCGGGGTGGGGGGGACATCACACAGTGAAGAATTAACGTCAGCCTTTAGTGTATTTTAATACATTTTTAACGCGAAATAAAATATCCCCTTCACTGATACCGAAGGCGTGCGACTTGGCATGGGCCGTCCCCCCCAACAAAGGCGCGTGAGTTGGTATGGTCGTGCACGCGTCATAAACAAATAAATACATTGGAAGCGCACTAAAATCGCACGAAATCGCTAATTAAACTAATTTAAAGTTGACGGATGTGAAAAAGGAATAGCGCTTGTTCACCGCGGGGCTTACGGCGTGGTACCTGGCTATTTTCTTTTACGTAAACCCCACCGTTGGAGAGGCAAATCGTTCGCAAGCACGCGAACACCCACAAACCCACGAACAAACCCACAAACAGACAATTTTTGACTTTTATATAGATAGATAGAAGATTGCACGCAGTTAATTTACCTAACATAAGTTTTACGTGCACAGTAACCAGCTAAAATCTCTCCCTTCTGGTGTGTTTGATAGTCTAACTAAACTCACGATTCTGCAGCTGCATTACAATCAGCTGTAGATTGTTTTCAGAACTAACGGCTCCACCCGCCGAGAGCGGCGCATTCCCCAAAGAGGCTGGCGTGACTACAAAGCCTCCAATTACGATTATACACTTTTACATTCATCGTCGTCAGCCATGGTCACTCCACTGCTCGATGTAATCCCCACCAAGCCACCTGGACCCTGTGGTGTAACGATCCACCTAGCATCTGCCTCTGCATCCGAGTTGATTTTATTGCTCCATCGCCTCGGGGAACGTCCTATCGGATGTATTCCATTCCTTGCTTGTCAGTCCATCACTTGTCTTGACCATCAGCTGTCATCCCTTCTACAGACGCACCCTGCCCCAGACCACTCACTTTTCTGAACAGCTTGAGAGATGTCACTAATGGACGTTTGTTCTCTACTCCACATGTTCCTCTTTCTGTCTCTCGTTGTAATGCCAAGCGTGCATTTCTCTCCGTTTTTTAGCGTATTTTGCAGTTGTCATCCCATTGTTTTTGTTAAATCCAAAATTTGTATGAAACGAGTGAATTATGAATTAGTTTCAGCACTTTGTCAATCAGACTCTGAACGCCTCGCCACGCCACTTCACCTGTGGAGTTGGACGACCGCAGCGGTGCGATTGGGGCGAAGGGGAGAGACCGAGACCCGGTTCAGATATCACTCGCCACTGATGTTAGCCATGGCCAGATATCGAACTCGGGTCACCGGGTTCGTAGCGCATTGCGCGAACCCACTACACCATACCGCTCTCCCAAGAGCCAAGTTTTTGATCCCTAAATTATATATTGAACACACAGGCAGGGGAGACAAATGACGTACCCTATACCAGCATTCAAGAATAGAATATTGAACATTTATACAAGTAATGCTTTATAGGTTTATTTATATAGTAATAGGTTTTACCCTTTTAACTGGCACAAAAAAACTGACACCTTTATTCAAGGCATCATGTCAGCAATAACCACAACACAAGCAGTCAAAATGCAAACAAAAAGACAACTCTGATAATAATATGCAATGTCCTTGAATTTGATTGGTCCACACCCGAGACGGCTTTCTTTAGAGCCTAGTCTCCACTGGTGTTGGACCAGAAGACGCCAAAAGGCGTACGACTCAAAAACAGCGCACTATCAGAGTATTGAGGGCTCGGGGTGAGCATTTACATTATGAGACCTCCTTTGCCAGTAACAAGATATAGTAATAGGTTTTATTACTAAGGGTAAAACCTATTTAAGGGTAAAACCTATTACTATGTCTTGTTACTGGCAAAGGAGGTCTCATAATGTAAATGCTCACCCCGAGCCCTCAATACTCTGATAGTGTGCTGTTTTTGAGTTGTACGCATTTTGGCGTCTTCTGGTCCAACACCAGTGGAGACTAGGCTCTAAAGAAAGCCGTCTCGGGTGTGGACCAATCAAATTCAAGGACAGTGCATATTATTATCAGAGTTGTCTTTTTGTTTTCATTTTGACTGCTTGTGTTGTGGTTATTGCAGACATGATGCCTTGAATAAAGGTGTCAGTTTTTTGTGCCAGTTAAAAGGGTAAAACCTATTACTATATCTTGTTACTGGCAAAGGAGGTCTCATAATGTAAAAGGTTTATTTATGATGGTGTGAATGTAAGATTTGTTGCAAGAATAGCGTAATATATTCTTGTAGTTTGCATAACTTTAGTGTTTGATAAGCACACACAAATCAGATACTTTATATTGTTAACCATTGTTCTAAACTGCTGCCTGGTGTGATTTCTGGTTGTACCGCGTGTTGTTTGGCATAATGTCCGACGTTTCATTCCACGTGCAGGAATCTTCTTGATGCACTTGAAATTTCAGGCATTTAATTCAGTTATTGAAAACACATGGGAAAGTTGTACAGCACAACCGTAAAACAATCTACGCAGTCTTAGCGTACCTTCAAATTTATTGCCGTTTCAGTATTTCGCAAGCGTAAAATAACACGTTTATTCGATACAATATATTCGTATAAATGAATTACAGTAGCGATAGACAAACTCGATCTCAACTCGAACTCGCTGGCGACACTCTCTGACACGGCGTTCCGTGGCCTAACGAAGCTCACGTGGCTCAACCTGCAGTACAACGCGTTGCAGACTCTCCCCTCTGGCGAGACGCAGCTGCCTACCCGGGCGGCACTGCACAGCGCAGAGTCCTGAATGGAATCCGTGCCAATTAACAATCATTGGCGCCGTTGTGGAAAATATCTCAACATACTTTTTTTTACAATTCATATCCTTCACAAAATTGTCTCCACGTAAAATAAAAGGTATTTTTTTTACACATTCTATTTACCACAGGCCGCTCTGGGAGGAGTATTCTTCCACAGTATTCGTTTAATTCAAACTCTATTTCTACATTCAGTGTTTCATCAGCAGTCAGGCCTGGTGGAACCAATGTTGGTGAACTGCCAGATGTCTGTAGACGGACGATACTGAATATGGTCCTGGATCCTTCCTTCACCAACCCACACTGGGCAACGTAGTGAAGTATGCCCAAACCGTCATGACAAACACGCAAGGGGAGGCTTTCGTCCAGGAGTGAATTGACAAATAGGACTGTAGCCAAATGGTGATACAAATATATTTGTCCTAATAATTTAAAATTACATTTCAGGAGGGTCCTGCATTTGGATATGTGCCCACTTCCTGTGTCGAGTCGTGCTGTGCGAGTAGAGAAAAAACCTCACGCATCGCGAGGAGAGCACAAAGGGGATGGGTCCGAAACCCCCCAGGACGCAACCCACCAACCCCGCTTCCCGTTGTATTGAAACATTTCACGCGTTATGATTTTTATACACTTTCAGTGAAACACCTAAAACAAATCGTGAAAGTTGTAAATATGTTCTCATATATGAACACAGTCTGTTCCATATGGCGGTTATACCTGAACGATAACCAGCTAAAGTCTCTCCCACCCAGAGTGTTTGACAGTCTGACTAAACTCACGATTCTGTACCTGCAAGACAATCAGCTCGAGAGTTTTCCTCAAGCTATGGATGCATATTGAGCGGCGTGTTTTTCACGCATCTTGGAGGCTGAGAGGAGAGGTGGTGCTGTGGTTAGCACTCTGCTCTGTGATCCCGGTGACTCGAGTTGGATTCCCGACCACGGCTAACATCAGTGGCGAATGATATCAGAATCGGTCGCGTCTTTCCACTAACCTGGGCTGACCAGGGTAGCACATCCATGAATTCGTTAGTTAAAAAGGAAAACACTTTTTTTAATTTCTCGAGACATTTATATATGTGTAGTGGAGTAGAAGATACGCGTGGGTAAATTCGCCATATACAGTACATACAGACATACAAACAGTGTGGGTCACATAGGGTCGAGCAGGTGGTGGAGTCACGGGTGGCGTAAACAAACCAAAGTAATTAAGGGAGTCAAGGCACGAGGGCTGTGATTTGTCGAGAGGCTGTTAACGTTAAGTGGCGGCGTCACGAAGTCTGGGCCGTTGGACAGGTGCGAGCTGGCGGGAAAATGCCAGCGAGGCACGTGGCAATTAATTAAGGTTGATTGGAAAGGGGATAAAACGCTAGCTGATTTGGACGGGGAGTTGAGTTGTTGTTGGGGAATTGTTGGCGAGAGATGGAGAGAGCAGCGAGAGATGCGAAGAGGGGAGCCGGCAAGTGTTAGTAAAGAATAGATTGAGAGCCGAACCCAGAGGACAATAAATAGCGATAGGGAGAGTTGGCGTTAGCAGAGTGGTAGTTACGGTATAGATAGGTACAGGGAGAGTTGGAGATAGACAAGTCACTGTGTGCGGAGATAGACAGAGTCACTGCGTGTGAAGAGATAGATAAGTCACTGCGTGTGAAGAGATAGGCGAGTCACTGCGTGTGAAGAGATGGACGAGTCGCTGCGTGTGAAGAGATGGACGAGTCGCTGCGTGTGAAGAGATGGACGAGTCGCTGCGTGTGAAGAGATGGACGAGTCGCTGCGTGTGAAGAGATGGACGAGTCGCTGCGTGTGAAGAGATGGACGAGTCGCTGCGTGTGAAGAGATGGACGAGTCGCTGCGTGTGAAGAGATGGACGAGTCGCTGCGTGTGAAGAGATGGACGAGTCGCTGCGTGTGAAGAGATGGACGAGTCGCTGCGTGTGAAGAGATGGACGAGTCGCTGCGTGTGAAGAGATGGACGAGTCGCTGCGTGTGAAGAGATGGACGAGTCGCTGCGTGTGAAGAGATGGACGAGTCGCTGCGTGTGAAGAGATGGACGAGTCGCTGCGTGTGAAGAGATGGACGAGTCGCTGCGTGTGAAGAGATGGACGAGTCGCTGCGTGTGAAGAGATGGACGAGTCGCTGCGTGTGAAGAGATGGACGAGTCGCTGCGTGTGAAGAGATGGACGAGTCGCTGCGTGTGAAGAGATGGACGAGTCGCTGCGTGTGAGGAGATGGACGAGTCGCTGCGTGTGAGGAGATGGACGAGTCGCTGCGTGTGAGGAGATGGACGAGTCGCTGCGTGTGAGGAGATGGACGAGTCGCTGCGTGTGAGGAGATGGACGAGTCGCTGCGTGTGAGGAGATGGACGAGTCGCTGCGTGTGAGGAGATGGACGAGTCGCTGCGTGTGAGGAGATGGACGAGTCGCTGCGTGTGAGGAGATGGACGAGTCGCTGCGTGTGAGGAGATGGACGAGTCGCTGCGTGTGAGGAGATGGACGAGTCGCTGCGTGTGAGGAGATGGACGAGTCGCTGCGTGTGAGGAGATGGACGAGTCGCTGCGTGTGAGGAGATGGACGAGTCGCTGCGTGTGAGGAGATGGACGAGTCGCTGCGTGTGAGGAGATGGACGAGTCGCTGCGTGTGAGGAGATGGACGAGTCGCTGCGTGTGAGGAGATGGACGAGTCGCTGCGTGTGAGGAGATGGACGAGTCGCTGCGTGTGAGGAGATGGACGAGTCGCTGCGTGTGAGGAGATGGACGAGTCGCTGCGTGTGAGGAGATGGACGAGTCGCTGCGTGTGAGGAGATGGACGAGTCGCTGCGTGTGAGGAGATGGACGAGTCGCTGCGTGTGAGGAGATGGACGAGTCGCTGCGTGTGAGGAGATGGACGAGTCGCTGCGTGTGAGGAGATGGACGAGTCGCTGCGTGTGAGGAGATGGACGAGTCGCTGCGTGTGAGGAGATGGACGAGTCGCTGCGTGTGAGGAGATGGACGAGTCGCTGCGTGTGAGGAGATGGACGAGTCGCTGCGTGTGAGGAGATGGACGAGTCGCTGCGTGTGAGGAGATGGACGAGTCGCTGCGTGTGAGGAGATGGACGAGTCGCTGCGTGTGAGGAGATGGACGAGTCGCTGCGTGTGAGGAGATGGACGAGTCGCTGCGTGTGAGGAGATGGACGAGTCGCTGCGTGTGAGGAGATGGACGAGTCGCTGCGTGTGAGGAGATGGACGAGTCGCTGCGTGTGAGGAGATGGACGAGTCGCTGCGTTGTGAGGAGATGGACGAGTCGCTGCGTTGTGAGGAGATGGACGAGTCGCTGCGTGTGAGGAGATGGACGAGTCGCTGCGTGTGAGGAGATGGACGAGTCGCTGCGTGTGAGGAGATGGACGAGTCGCTGCGTGTGAGGAGATGGACGAGTCGCTGCGTGTGAGGAGATGGACGAGTCGCTGCGTGTGAGGAGATGGACGAGTCGCTGCGTGTGAGGAGATGGACGAGTCGCTGCGTGTGAGGAGATGGACGAGTCGCTGCGTGTGAGGAGATGGACGAGTCGCTGCGTGTGAGGAGATGGACGAGTCGCTGCGTGTGAGGAGATGGACGAGTCGCTGCGTGTGAGGAGATGGACGAGTCGCTGCGTGTGAGGAGATGGACGAGTCGCTGCGTGTGAGGAGATGGACGAGTCGCTGCGTGTGAGGAGATGGACGAGTCGCTGCGTGTGAGGAGATGGACGAGTCGCTGCGTTGTGAGGAGATGGACGAGTCGCTGCGTTGTGAGGAGATGGACGAGTCGCTGCGTGTGAGGAGATGGACGAGTCGCTGCGTGTGAGGAGATGGACGAGTCGCTGCGTGTGAGGAGATGGACGAGTCGCTGCGTGTGAGGAGATGGACGAGTCGCTGCGTGTGAGGAGATGGACGAGTCGCTGCGTGTGAGGAGATGGACGAGTCGCTGCGTGTGAGGAGATGGACGAGTCGCTGCGTGTGAGGAGATGGACGAGTCGCTGCGTGTGAGGAGATGGACGAGTCGCTGCGTGTGAGGAGATGGACGAGTCGCTGCGTGTGAGGAGATGGACGAGTCGCTGCGTGTGAGGAGATGGAGATAGAGAGAGAACCACTGTGTGGGGGGAGTGAAGAAGAGACTGTGTGAGGAGACAAGGAGTATGAGAGGACGGTGCTGGGGCATTCGAGTGTTCGAGTTGGCGGAGCGCGGAGAGGAGAAATTATAGTGTGTGTGTGTGCGGAACGATGGAAATAAAAGTGACGGTGGAAGAACGGCGATTGTCGTCCGAGTGAATCCAAGGCACTACAGATGTGCATCAAACTGGTTTAAACCGGTGTTTGCATACGGTGACCAGTAAATCGAACAAAACGTGGTTTTAACAACAACGCAAGTTTGTTTGTCAAGTTGACAGCTGTAGCAGTGCGACTCTGTAAGAGCCGCTCTTGGTGGCTGTTGCTTGAACGGTTCCCATCCCAGGGGCTGTTGACGAGGTGCAGCGTTTCAACCTTGGCGAGGCTGTCAAACGCACCGTCAGGAACGCTCTGCAACTTATTGTTAGTCAGCTGCAGCGCGACTGTGGTTACCACTGACCACGACCGTGATGACTATTCGCATTGTGACAAAATATGTAAGCAGACAAGACGGTTCCTTCACAAATCTATCGTTCCATCTAGAAAAAAAAAATGTTTTACACATTCCATCAGACGCACGGCTCTCTTGGAGTGCACCATTTCAGCCGTGCTGGTTTAACACCACGCGTAGGGGAGTCCACACGAGGCGTCGCTTGAGCAAGGGACTTGATCGTGCGTATTGGTGTGCGATTGTGCACACGCGCGTGGATTTGTGTTTATTTGTGATCGCGTGTATTTGTGTGTGTCCGTGTTTATGAGAGTGACCGGTGTGTGTGGTCATAAGTAATGGTGGTGGATGTAGGGTTGATCGCTACTGTCCGAAAGATTTCATGGAAATGTCCGGAATTCTCGTGCATTCATAATCCCACATGGAATCGGAACTGGGACAAATATTGGCCTATGCATTTTATAGAATTGCGTAAAGCCGTGTGGTACTCCGGGCTCTGGTCTCTCCCTTCACCAATCCATGCTGACCAGCGTGGTGAAGTATGGTCTAATAACCACCATGACACGCAAGGCGTTGGGAGCATTTCACGCATCAGTGATTTGACGAAAACGACAACATTTTATAGGAATGGTGAGTACATGTGCAAAGGTCGTGTGAAGGACAGGTTGGGATAATGTAAGGGCAGGTAGGCACACGATAACTAAATATGACATTAAAGGCGGATGGAAGACAGCCGGGAAGGATAAAGCAGGGGAATGGCTGAGGGCTAGAGGAGAGAGATTTGGCAGGAAAGAGGAGGATGAAGGGAAAGCGAGAGACAGAAAGGCCGAGGGATGCGATTGGCGGAACAAAGACAGTCACCGCATCACGTGGTGCTTTCAGATGCGCTTCTACAGCCGTCTGGAACGCTCTTCCTTCCGATATTAGGAAGTCACTGGAGCTATGCACTTATAAATATAGGTTGATGTCCTTCCTCCGCACTTCTAATTTTCACGGTTGGCTACCTACGTTGCGAAACAAGCTCAAGATACGTACATACAAAGGAACTTTCTGGAAGGATCCAGGGAGAGAGGGTATATGAGGGGGTATATAAGGGGGTGCGACGTGTGATCAGGGCTCCTGGAGAGATGGAGTGTGCATGTGGTGTCATGTGAGGGATTATTATTAATGAAGCCTTATCCCAGCATCGCCTCGTGTGGACTTCTCTTCGCATGGGTGGACGC